AGTGCCCATGGGGACATCGCCAGCCCTGGCCACCCTCTGAAAGGGCCATGCTCCGCTTCATCCCCAGCACCTCAGGTTGCCAGGGGCATGGAGATGCTCCTTGTGGTCTGGGCGCCTGTGGCAGGGTGACACATACCACCATGGGCTTGCTGGCCTGCCACCGTGAGTTCCCAGGGGCAGGCAAGGATCCCAGTGGGTGGCAGCATGGGAGCATCCCGGGGACAGGCAGCCCTGTCACCCCATCACACAGCGCAGCGACATGGGGCAGGGACACCCTCACTGATGCTATGCTTCTCCAGATGTCACCAAACCCACCATAAGGAGCTGCTGGCTGCCTGTTGCCTCCATCTGTCCCACAGCCACCTCAGGGACCTCCCCTGGCCGACCCGAAGGGTCCAACCCAGCGCCTGAGACCCAAACACCACCCTTCCTGCCTTGTGCCACACAGTCGCTCCCCAGTCCAGCAAGCAACGCCCCGCTCAAACCAGCTCTTCTCTTCCTCCTTCCAACGCATTGTGGTGCCATTGGCACCCAGGAGACACGGTGGGCTCCACGGTTCCCAGCCCCGGGCCGGACCTCCCATCCTGTGCCGCTCTTTGCGGGAGTGGCCAAAAGACTTCCCCAAATCATTGGTGCGGGGAAATGAATGTCTTGGTCTCCTCCCAAGCTGGAGTGATGAGTAAGTGCTTGATTCCCACCATCCCTCCTCATTCCTGTCCTCCAGGGCCCCTGGAGGCTTCTCCCAGAAGCATCTCCCAACCAGCCTTGGCTGCGGGCATCCAAAAGTCCTCCCTCTTCCCTCTCCCCAAGCGAGCCCCTCTGGCACCCTCAGATCCAGTGACATGCCGGTGTCCTGATAAGTGTCACTTGGCCCAGAGGCTGGACAGGACCTGGGGACAAGAGCCGAGCAGGGCTGGAGGTCTGCTCCCAGGCATGGGGAGGCTCTACCTGTGCTTCTGCCCACCCAGCGAAGGTGCCCATAGCCCAGCAAGGCGGCTTGGCATTGCTTTCCCCAGCCATTTGGCTGAGAGATGTCTCTGCCCCAGCACTGGTGGGTGCACTGGGAGGTAAGGAGCCTGGCTGGGTGCTAGGAAAAGGGATTAAAAACATTAAAATGCCATAGTCCTGCAGCCCAAACCCGTGGCATGCCCATGTCCCAAGAACCACCTGCGAGAGGGTAGCCAGGAGCTAGGGACGGTGCGGAGGAGGGATGGCAGGGATGAGCAGCGCAGGGGGTGGTTCTCACCGATGTGAGGTTCAGCAGAGAGGAGGAGGAAGGGTATGATGGGACCATAACACCGCCAGCGGCCGGAGAGGATGAGTAGGGAATGGCTGCTCCTCCCAACGTAGCTGATGGGCAGCCAATAAAACCTTTCAGCAACAGGTTTGAAATCACCGGGAGAAAACCTTGATTCACATCGGCACCCAAACCCCGAAACCAGCTGCTGCAGGATGTCAAGGCGGTCGAGACACAAAGCCTCAAAGCCACACCAGCTTCTTCACCGGACCCATTAAACATGATGAGATGGTCACAGGGAAGCCCTTGAGCGCTGGCTGAAGCACGAGGGTGAGCTACACCTCCATGCTATGGTGGCAGCAGCCATGGGGCTGCAGGGTCCTCACCCAGCCTCAGACAGGGCACAGTGGAGGTTTGGGATGATGGGCTGTGTCTCTCATCTGGCCTCGATGCTCCCTGCAGCCCCCCTGTGCAACATCCCCTGGGTACCACAAAGGTCCCTGCAGGAGATGCCAGGCAGCGGGTGGGGATGCGCAGCCGGTCCCCCTACCATGCCCAAGCCTGTCCCCGTCTGTCGCAGCAGGCAGCACGAGCACCCATCTCCTACCTGAAGGGCCGGTCGGCTGTCGAGTTCACTCCGGCGAAGGACTGGCTCCTATTGATCTTGGTGATGAGGACTCGGCGCTGCGGGCGCACAGACAGTGACATCGTTGAGTGTGACCTGGAGGGCCTCCCTGGGGGGCACAAGAGCGCGGGGTCACCAGCAGCAGGGTGGGGAAACACACACATCAGGGCTGCCACTGAGACCAGGATGGGAATGGCACCCACGGCACCCGTGGGCTGGGGCAGACGTAGGACCCACAGGCCGGGAGCAATGCTGTCAGTGCCCTGCTCTGGGTGAAGCAAGGCTCCGGACACTGTGAGCACTCGGCAGGGACAGACGGACAGATATGTCCCAGCTTGGTCCCCTGGGAGCCACAGGCAGGGGGTGATGCCCAATGCCTACCATGGCCCTTCCCGGACATGGCCATGGCAAACCCTCTGTTGTGCCCCAGCCCGGCCACCTCCTCCTGAACCCGACCTTATCCCGTGTCCCGCTGTCCCCTGTGCCACCCTGCTGCAGGGGCAGGAAGGGTGTGGGGCCGGACCTGGCCACCCAGCCCTTT